TTTGTTTTTTTCTGAAAACACTGTACCTACTTCTGAACATGCTTTCAGTTCTTAGATGCCACCCATTTCTTTTCTTTGTTTATGAGGCAAAAGTATTTCAAAGCCTACGTCCATACCCCAGAGACTCTCCAGGAGACACTTATCTTCTGAAGGAATGTCCTGGCTTGGGCTGGAATAGAGTTCACGTTCCTTTTGGCAACCAGAAGATTGCCGTGCTTTGGATTGAGCACGGGGTTTGGCGTGGGAAGAGTGCTGCTAGCACGCTGCTGTTTTCAGCTGCTGCTGAGATTTGAGGGAGTCTCCGAGTCGCGGTGTCCTGCCCGTGCGCGAGTGCACAAGAAGCAGGGAGGGAGCACGGCCAGAGCCCCGGCCACAAACCGGCCAGTGAAATACTCCGTGTCGTGGAACGTCACGCTCAGTGTGGAAAGGAGGGGTGGTGGGGAAGGGGGGGGCTCTCTCTCTCGCTCCCGGGATTGCGATTGCGGGACCTTGGTGTTTGGGGGTGGCTGTCCGGGAACGGGCTGGGGATTGGTCAGCGGGCGGTGGGCGATTGCGCTGCGCGTTGCCCGTTTCTATTTTCTGTTGCTGCTGTTGTTTTCGTTTTATGACCGTTGTGAACCGGCTTCTGTGTCGATGTGCGAGCGTCCCTTTGCCCCTGCGGTTCCCTCCCCCGTTGGCAGGTGGGGGGCGAGGGTGGGCGAGCGGCATTGGGGTGGTTGGCTGCCGACTGGGCTCGAATCACAAGGAAGTAAAACTTTCTGGTAATCTTTGAGTGAACAGTGGCTGTTACTTAAAATTCATTGCTGGCCAAAGGGTACTACAGTTATCCCTACTGTAAATACAGGGGAAAGGTGATATTGGCTGTCATGGTGAGGTACATGTTGGCAAATGCTGATTCAATGTCTACTCCTGCAGTAATCCTCCCACATCAAACTCTACATGTTCTTATCCACATAAGTATCTGGCTTCTGTTTGATCACAGTAATCGGGGCTATTTAGAAGGGTCATGGTATATTTGCCCTTTTGTCTTGTGTCTGGAGCTATGAAAGCATGACTTTGGAGCAAATGTTGATTGAATTCTAAAGAGACTGGCAGTAGCTGGGAACATGTGTAGCCCCATGTACGTTAAACTTGTGATTCCAAGTAAAAAACTGCTTGCTTTCTAAAATAACTTTGAAAAGTTACCTTGAAGGAGCAAATACATGGTGGATATTACTCTTCAATGAAAACCAATATGAACTTCCCTCTTACCATGCAACATGTTACTACCCTTATTGTGAAATAATCAAATGCTGCCCAGCGTAGGAATGAAACTAAATCTGGCTGGTAACCAGAATAAAATCCCTTATAGCTATTTTTGTATGTTCTTAAAATGTGTGCTGTGAGATTAGGCAGTTGTCTTTTTTTTCCCCCCTCTCTGCTATTTTTCATAAAAAATTCTTTTTTTTTTTTTTTTAAAAAAAAAAAAAAAACAAACCAAACCAAAAAATACCAAACCAAAAACCAAAACTCTCTTGGAGCCCCCTCCTAGCATAAGGTTGTGGGCCAGAAAATCCAATGTTATGTTCTTTTTACCTAAATCCTTATTCTTTCTAAGCTGGCTAGACATTTTGGATAGGTGTGTTTTTATTTATTTGGCGTGATATTTTCTCAACATTATTGTGTTTGTTTTTTTTTTTTTTTTTTTTTGGCATTCATCTTTACAGCAGTAGCTAGAGAACTTCTTCCCAGTGTTTAAAAGGATAAACTTAACATCTCCCTTTCCATCTTTTCTTCTTGCTGTTGGATAGAACTCAGGAAACTTTTTAATTCTTGCAAAGCAGTGAGAGTGCAAACGAAATGTGTGCATGAATGAGGTTGCTGAGTCCTCCAAGATATAGGGGTCTGCAAGTGCCCATCGACGGGTGTGGGTCTGGGGCTTATTACAGCAGCATTCAGAAGGTTGAGACACAGATACTGTAAAAATAAGTCCATTGGTGCTCAGCACAGTTTAGGATTGTACTGAGCTGCACCCAATCTCAAAAGTTTTTCACCATACTTCTTTCACTTCTTAGGCTAGATCAGCACTAGGTAGGGGGTCTGTATGCTCCCCTTCAATTGTGAAGCCATGCTCAGAGGTTCATGAGAAGTTGGAGGCCAACTGATTTGGAGCCAGGATATGGCATGTTTGCTGTGCGTTTCTTGCAGACTTTACACTGAGGTATAATCAAATATCTAATTGTGCTGTTCATCTCGGATACCTTTGCTATTGATAACTTTTTCTTGTAGTCATCATGGAAAACAATGGTTTTAAGATGTCTTTTACTGCATCTGTGCTTTGGAGGCTGTTACATTCCCTCTCTTTTTTTTTTTTTTTCTAATGTGCAGTAGATGTCCTTAAACCTTTCCTCTGAAGTGGTATACGGTGAAGCTGATATCCAAATCTGGATGAGTTTCTAGAGCACTGGTATCCTCAGAGCCGTTAGGATAGAAGAGTGGTGGAGGTCCCTTCTCCACCCAATTGCTAAGGAGTGTGAGTTATACCTGTCAGCTGATAGCTGTTAAATTAACATTTCCCTGTGTGTAACCTTATCTTTACAGACAGGTGTATATGTGTTGGGAGAGGGTCTATTTTTGGCAATACAATAGGAGAGACTGGAGGTAATGAGTTGTGCATAGTAAATCTTGCTTACTCCATAATTTCCACTACATTTCAAATTAAGGGCCTAAATTAGGGTTAGTGTCAGACTTGCTCTTTCGCTATGTCCTAATTTTGTTTTAAAAGCACATAGCTAAGGACTTTAATATGTTTTAGATTCAGTGCTTGTAAGTTATACTAAAATCCCTAAGGGAGCCAAAATAACTTATTAAAACCTTGCAAATGTTTTTGACTGCTGCATTCTATTATTTTCTATTCCAGTGGTAGCATACAGCCTCGGCTGCTGATGGGCGGAGGAACGCAAACCTCCAGGGCCCATTAGACTTAACTTGTTTACTGCATTGATATCTATATGTTAAATGACAAGAGAGTTCAGGTTATTGAATAATTTAAAATTCAGCTCTAATTGGTGTCATATGACCTGGAAAAGGCCATGGATGACGCCAGGAGCATGCTGTGAAATTCTTATAAATAATTCATAAATTAGATCATTCATTTGCCTGGATGTCTTGTTAAATGCAGAAGTTTGTAAGTAATAACTGATGATATAACACCTGTAAGTATTTAGTTCATATGCTGGAAGGTAATCTACCTTGATGATCTTCTAGCAAAACCTGCCAGAGTACGAGAGTTAATTGCACTAGGGAGAATGCACTACATTTATTTGGGATGGGCTTTGGCAAGGCGTACTGTGCAGATGTTGCATTACGCATTCTCTATCAGCTAGACAACTATTCTGTGTATGCCCATGTTAAAAATGCAGCTCATCACTCTTCTGCCCTTATTTCACATGAACTCCAAATGCACTGGGAAATGGTAGTGACCTGCTCTGCTCACAAATAGTATAGTTTTTGAAATATTTATCTAGGTCTTGAACTACTGATTCTTCAGTAAAATAAAGGGCAGAAGTAAAAAATTGAAGTCAGAAGATTGTGATTTTTTGGTTTTATAATGTTGGCAGGATGTTGAATGTTAATAGTTAGACCTGGTGCTGTCAGGATTAGTGTAGTGGCATTTTTCCATAGTGCAAACACAAATGATACAGTTTTGTTTCAGAAAGCAAATATGTTTGCTTAATTGTAGTGGTCAGGTTTTGCGTTGCCATATGTAGGTTTGGGCTTAAAGCTCACGGTGATTTCCAAGACTCAACGTACAGGCACCTCACTTTAGTTTTCTTGGAGCACTGTATTATTGATAACTACCTTATCAGCCAGAGTAAAACCAGTTTGCTGATCTGAAATGGAAGCATTAGATAGAGATTATCTACAATATTTGTGTAGCTGGAAAAGAAGGGTGGCATGTTTATGAATGCAAAATATACACTTAGAGCTGAGTGCCAGCAAATGCTCACATGCCACTTTGAATGCAGGTTTTTTGTGCACCTGGCATTCCAGCTCAAACCCTCTTAACAAAGAGGAGAAAAAAGAAATTGAAGGCAACATAAACATAGGAGGTGTTCCTCTGCTGTCAGCTAGCATTCACTTTTCACTGTTAGCTAGATTCACTTTTTATTTTTTTTTTTGGCTACACCTATTCAATATATTGAGTTCACTAGATTTTACAGGAAAAGTACAGGCTTATGACTGTCATTCACATAGTTTCTTTGATTTGAGATCACTTGTTTTATTCAGTGGAATGTGGCAATCATAGCTATACATAATTTCTACAGAAAATGGTACTTTATTTCTTGCTTGAAAAATGGTCAGCTTACCTTCCGAGTTATCTAATGTATCTATCTTAGGTACTGACAGAGATAGTTGCTGAACTATTATGCTGGGACTTAACTGATATTAAGTTACTTATGGTAGAGATTTTAATAAAGGATTATATGATTTATAGAAAAAAGAATTGATAGACTTAAGTAGATCCTACTAATTTACTTAAAAATGTTTACCTTTTTACATTCTCCTTGATGAATTCTTACAGACTTTTGGAAAGAATAGCTTCTTAATCACTAGTAATGTACTTCAAATATTCCTATCATTTGAAAGAATTGTTCTTAAAACAGCATTTCTGTTTCCCTGATATCCTACCTGAGCTTATTTATAAGATAGTCTCCTCATTCTACTGACAAGAGCAAGTTCTTATACTGTTGACAGACCTGCAAACCCGAAGCCATGATTTATTGAGATGAGATCCATACATCAGCAATGCATTGTAGTGACTGAGTTCCAGGTTCAGGATGTATACCTTAGTGAGTGTGTCAGCAAGGTCACTAATATGTGCCCTTGGTGCTCTTGAAAATGTCCCTGTGTGTAGTAGTCTCTCATTTGTCTATTTAGAAATTTTTACTTCATCTTTACATATCTCTGTGTTTATCCTCTGGTTGCTGCTTCTGTTTGTTCTTCTTGACTTCCTCCAGGGTCCACACTCAGATCAGCGCAATGGACTAGTCCTGAACCTGCATGTTCCTCCCTCTGTTTCTACCCCACCAAAAGAAATCCCAGATCTGAAAATCCAGGTTAGTGAATGTTCTCAAGATACAACTGAGATCAATTTTAGTTCATTGTCTTTTTCTGTATTCAAATACATTTCAGCTACAAACTACAAACCCAGGTGCTATGGTTTAAACTCTAACGCTGTTAACATCTATATGAATTTTGCTGTTCACTGTAACAGCACTGTATTTTGCTGGGACCGTAGCTTTTGTCCTTTGAGTGCAAGACTTCTCAAGGTAATAATAGAATCATAGAATATCAAGTTGGAAGGGACCTCAAGGATCATCTGGTCCAACCTCTCTTGGTAAAAACATGGTTTAGACAAGGTGGCCTGGCACCCTGTCCAGCTGGATCTTAATATTCTCCAATGTTGGGGAATCCACCACTTCCCTGGGGATATTATTCCAGTGGCTGCTTGTCTCATTGTGAAACATTGTCCTCGTGTGTCCAGTTGGAGTATCTCCAGCAGGATTCAGGGCTGTTTCTTAAACATGTATTGTACACACAGAGCTACCAGTAAAATCTGTCAGGACCTTGCCTATGTTGAGACTGTAAGATCTGATCTGCTACTAGTTCAATGCTTGCAGTACAAAGCCCTGTGTGATAGAATCAGTCTGTAAATGTGCCTTCTCTGCTAGCACTGTGAATTAGCACTGCAGAGCACTCAAGTTGCATTTAAGAAAAATTTGCAGAGATCATAAGGCTGCATGCATAAAACTGGTGTTCTGTTTGTCTGTTTGTAGGAAGTTTTAAGGACTGGATGTTTGTTTAAGCTCTGCTCTGAATCCCTGAGCAAAAATTACTGGGATTGCAGTAAAGATTTTGTGGAGCTCCCTACATGTCTTCCACTTTAAACCCTTCTAGAGGTTATTTGAACTATTTTTTAATACCTCTTTGTTTCCATGCAAGTGTTTCACATCTGATCAAGTCTTAGTAACTCCATATGTTGCAAGGAGAAGTCTGAGTTTGTTTGTTTAAGCCTTGGTTAAAGGAAGTTGTATCTTTAAATACCGTACAGCAAGCCTGGAAGAGCTCCATGGAGGGGAAAGCACAGCTGTTCCATCATGGTCCGTCATGGTTTCCATGTGTCCCATAGGCAATATCTTTCTTAAACTCATCTTGTAAAATTACCCAATTCCTTATACTTGTGCATCTTTCGACTAACAGTAGTAGGGTCTTTGGAATTTTTTTTTTCTTTGCTTTTCCCCTTCACCTGGCCTGCATCTTACAGATCTGTCATGGCATGCTCTCGTCTCATCTGATCCCTTCTAAGTGTAAATGCCAGTCCATTTTCCCCGCAGTCTTTACCATCCAGCTGTAGTTTTCAGTTAAAGCATTAAAAGAAAAACATAGATTGCTAAAAAAGTTGTTGACTAGCTTCTGGCTCCCAATTGTTAATTTTTCTTTGGGGTTAGACCCTGCAAAGTACTGAGTAGCTGTCAAAGGCATGTTGGAACTCAGTCTTCTGCCTAACGTGACCTCCTTCTTCTAAAGGAATAAAAAACCCCACTCACATTCAATGACATTAATGAGAATTTTCCCCCCTGCAAACATATTGTAACTGTGAAATAACATTAAAGTTTCTCTGCCTTGTTATGAAGTCTTTAAATGTCAATGCCATTTCTGAGACCATCAGGGCAGATTTAATGGTGGCCAAGGTCAACAAATGCTAAGCGGTACCTCTCTTTTAGGGCCTTCAGGGACTCTTAATAGAGTCTCAGCCATGAAGTTAATTTGTGATGTGGACCTTTATTCTTAAACCTGCTCCTGATGATTATTTTGTGCTGTCTTCATTCGTGTGCTTAGATTTCTTAACATTCTCTTGTCTCCTCAGTCAATAAAACAAACTGCTAAACTAAAGACATTCTCATGTATGTAATCTTCTGAGTCTTCTTTTTTAGTTCCTTTTTGCTTCTGTTTATGGGCTGTGGAAAGGTAGGTATATCATGATCGTAGACCACTCTAAGCTGCCAGCTCTGATAGGATCCTCTAAGAATACTGAGTCTGCCACCTTCTGCTGTCCTAGGGGGCTAGGAAACTGGCTGCCTTGAAAGCCTTTCTGTTGGTGCTCTAAATGCTTTGTTAGCAGAAGCAGGTGAGGTGGGAAACGAGAGACAGATTGTAGCCACAGGATTTTCTTACTTTCCCTTTTTCTGTAATATTTCTTCCTGTTGCTGGTCATCTCTTTATGTATTGTCTAATTTGGATTAAAAGGGCTTTGTAGCCTTTATTTGCCTAGAAAATGTTGCAGACAAGGATGGTATGCTACAAATAATAAATAACAAAACTCCGTCTTTTTGGCACCATGTTGCATTTCTGCTCAGTTGCCCTGCCAGCCCCTCTGACTTTAAAATATTTTAATGTCCTGCACTTTTCACCCAGTCCAAACACCAGACTTTCCTCAGACATTTAGCACTGACATTAATGCAAATGCCTCCAACTCACTCAGCCCTTTGGGGCAAAATATGACATCCTTGGCTTTCAATCACATGGCAGAGAGGATATATTTGTATCCACAAGACTGGAAATAATAAAATATCAGTATTCAGGTGCTAATCCACATTAATTTACATTCTGTGAAGTCTACAAGAAACTTGTAATTGGTTGTCTTGAAGGGCAACAGAGTATATTTGGTATTTTGTTTATTTTTAAAAAAGAATTTAAATTATACATATAAACACTGTGTAGATTTGGATTATGTCTCTCTTATAATCATCACTGGATGCTTGCTTTCATTCCTAAGTTGCGGTGTTTTGGGGCTTGCTGACTGTCTTCCACTCTATGTGGACAATACCTACAGTGCTTACAAAGCATTGCCAGAGTGCAAATAAGACTTTTCTTTCCATCAATGGATACCAGATTTCCCTGCTAAACCACTTTTACTGCAGTGGTTTTGTTATCTTTAACAAACCTGGCTTCTGTAATTAAAAAAATTAGGTCTTTGTGAAAGGTCCCAAAGGCTAGAGGAGTTTAAATTCAGTGTTACTGATATTATTGCACAGGTCTAGCAAAAGAGTTGTGAGTGCCTGATGCACTGCTGTTCTGATGTGCATAAAATCTCAAATGCTTAACTTCCTAGATGAACCATAGCACAAAGATACTCCAGGATGTAAGTAGGATTTTGATGTCTGTTACGTAATATCCGTGAGTATAACAAAACCAGTAGAATTTGCTTGCACTGGGTTGACATGTGAATTATAGTTGCTTGCTTTCTTTAGAATTTTATCAGAGTATAATCACTTGCCCAGCTTAATTGAAAAATCACTTACGTTTATAGCTGAATTTAAACATGTTTTGTATTTAAATGACAGCTTTTGATGTACAACCATTTTTTACAGAAAGTAGTTGGTTTTTATCTGTGTTTCTGTAAAGATATTTCAAAAACTCTCATCAAATTTCCAGCAGTAAGTAATATCCCATTCAGTGCAAGGTGAAATGTTTTACATCAAATCTCCTGCTGTGTAATGGCCAATCAAAGAGTATTTATAGTGGCTGAATGGATTTTTTGGCTTGGTATTCAAAATTAAACATTTTCAAACCTTAACATTTAATGTTTTTTGCCACTCTTCAAGTTGATTTTATGTAACCCTAGATGCTCACAACTACTTGATACTATGAAGTGACTCATTTTATGCTGAGGATCCTGCAGGCAGTAGTTTTACATTTATTACACTTGTGTAGTTGGAATGAAATGTAGATTTGATGGCAGTTTCGTGTCTATCTTCAGATAAACATTTTCTTGGGTTTGTCTGTATGTCCATGATACAGTAAGTCTATCTCTGAGAGGACACATTTACCAAGTGAAATTAATGAGCAAAGATAAATTTTGGTGATTCACAGGAAATTGTTTCTTTGATTGCAGGTATCCAGTAAGAAGAGCTCATGCCAACAACCGTCTTTGGAGATAGATGGTTCCTACTTGGGTATTGGGGGACCTCAAACTTTTTATAAGAATAGTAGAGCATCAAAGGCTGGAAGCCCAGCCCACGTTGCTTTGTCTCAGCCTTGTAGGAATAATCACGATTACATGACTGAAATCCATTATAACCATCAGGACTCTCTGAAGAAATATCTGATAGAGAATGGCTTGCACAGAAAGTGTAACAATATGATTTCCCCAGCCAAGCAGAGGAACCCTCACCATGTAAAACCAGCTCAGGAGATGGACCAGAAAGCAAATGAATTTCAGAGCACATGCCCTCAGCAAGTGAGTCACAGTTGTGACTGCAAGCATGCAGAGAACTCAGGGAGCAGGCAAGAGAGCCACCATGTCAGCCAGGTACTTAGAAGACACTCTGGGCCAGTTCATGAAACCTGTGATTATTCTAGGTGCTCACAAATTTCTGGCGTGAATGACAACATGGATTTAGGGCCTAAAGAAACAGAGCAGGCTAAAAGGTATGAAGAAAGAAGGCAAAAGCTGCTTCTGCAGAAAACGGAGCTGGAAATTGAAAAGGAACGCCTCCAACATTTATTGGCTAAACAAGAAGCAAAACTTCTCCTAAAACAAAAGCAACTACAGCAATCCTGTCTGGATTATTACAGGTGATTTTGAGATGTATAATTTAAAAAAAAAAAAAAAATCTAAAATTTCTAATGAACACATGGGCAGTAGTTAATTAAAATGGGAGAACAGAACTGATGAAATAAGACAGACGACCTGTGGCACAAATTCTCTCCAACAGTGATGTAAAGGAGAGGAGACTTTTTAGTATATTAGCATATACTGTTGGGAACCATCATGACAGCTGTGGAAAACAGCAGAGGAAAACAGTATGTTGTAGAAAGAAAGGCACAAGAAAAGCAGAGTGCTGAAATACTATGTGGGAAAAGAGGAGCAGCAGAAGAAAACAAGAGGTTGATCTTAGTGGTGGCACTTGAAGGAATACAAACATTTGTCAAGAGAGCATTGTGAGCATGGATGACATAGATGTGGCATTTCCTCTTCTTTCCTTGGAGAGGTCAGTTTTAAGTATTGCACCTTCCTAGCCAGGGACTGGAAGATGTGTTTTACAGAAAATATGGAGATAGTTTTTATATATATGGAATATATATATATGTATTTTTTTCCCATCTATATACATGGAAAAGAAAGGTAGCTCTGTATAGTAAGGACATTTTCTTTCCAGTGATGCTTGTGGAAGGAAGAATGCCAAGACTGAAGCACAATGCATGCTTAAGACTAGAAGAAGGGAAAGGCAGTAACTGTAGAAATACGGGATGTGGTTTGAAAAGCTCATGAGCTTGTTGAGGAAGGTGAGGTAATGCCTTCCTGACAATGTAAATGGGGTCTCTGGGAAAGAGAGAGAAACTGGTTTATGTCTATATGGTCTCGTGTTACTAGAGCAAAGAGGAACAGTGAAAGGGAGCAGGTTAAAGCAAGTTGAATTAGCCAATGTAACTCAGCTGAGCTACGTAACTCAGCATTTCACCTTTAGGAAGGGAAAGCAACATGTAAAAATCTAGGAGTCCTTTAGAAGCAGCAATAGGAGGGTTTCACATGGATGCTTATTTCAATGCTGTTTTAATATGGCAACTGCTGACAGCATCTCATGAGAGTGTGCATTACATGAACCACTTCATGCATTCACATATTGTAACCACATGGAGGAATATATCACTTTCTCTTCTTAATCCTAACCCTCTGATTACTTTTCAAACTCGAAAAGAGAATGCTGTTATTTAGGTGGTCTTTTGTTTGTTGTCTTGGATTGTGGTTCACACTGAAAATAATGTGTTTATATGGCTTTAAAAATACCTGACTTAAAGGCAATCACAATTGTGTGTGTTGAAAATGGCTGAGGTCACAAACAAAGGATTATGACTTCAGGTGAGAATTAAGTAGGAACAGATGGATTCTTAATCATCAAATAGCTTAATTATATGCATACATCCCTCTAATGAAAAACAAGTAGAATATGAAGGGCATACAGACAGAGTTTTTTGGTGGTTTTGTTACTAATGGATATTTTTTTAGCATTTGAGGCATCATAAACCCAGAAAAAAATGGACCTTAAATATATCTATAATGATGTGCTTGTTAATGAGATTATACCTGTTTTAGCTGTTGTTTTTCTGAGAAAAAAATTGCGGTTTACAGAGCTTTGGTTACCTGAAAGAAAATCATAGCTGTTCAATCTGAGGACTCAGTATTTTTGTGATCTCTTTTCAGAGGTGCAGGTGAAAGCACATTTGCCGTATTCTGCAAAAAGCAGCTAGAATATAGTGTGCTTGCTCTAAAAAATATTCAGACTCCTTAGAATTAAATGTTTGATATTTACAGGTAAATCTCTTAGGCATCATAGTTCTGTTTCAGTTCTAGGTATATAATTCACTTTTGCACTTGATAACAGGGTAATTTTATATGCTACAAACAATAAAAATTTGTTTAGCTAAGCTTAAATACCCTTTGCTTTATTGTCAGGAGGCTCTAACCTAGTTCATCTCTTAACGTCATGACAGTTTAAAAAAGCAATATAACAAAAATCCATTTCCAGAGAGTGTTTATTTTTGACTGTCCTTCTGAATGGGTGGAGTGCTAGTTAAGGCCTGTTCTGAGCTCCTGAAAGAATTGTCATTGAATGACAAGTGAAAGGTCTGACCATCTGTAATTATTGGCTATTAACTCTTCTGCTCTTTTAGCAGAAGTATTAGTTGATCCTTTTTTTGGACATGCTCTATCATAACTGCATTTTAATTTCCCCTATTTTCCTACTTAGCCTCAAGTGAGCGTAGTACTTTCTGATTGCAGTTTCTCTCTAGGTGAAATAGTTGCTCAGCTATAAAAAATGATGTGTGTGAGGGAAAGGGGCAGTTCAGTGACTACTCTGATGTCAGCTACACCACAGTAGACAAATATGGGTAAATCCTGGAAGTGGGAATTTTATGCTAATAAAAAGGGAGAAGTGCCTGTGTTGTTGACTTTTCTATCTTCATTGGAAAGAAAGAAAAAGGTGGGGTGATTTATTAAAAATGGAGCATCATCTGTGGGCCCATAGTTTCAGGAGACACAGCTATCTCAACTGAATTCTATATTTTATGCAGTTTGCATGTGATACTATGGATACCGTAACCATTTTCTTAAGCTGGTCCTTGGAAATCAGTAAATTAAATTTTTCTAATATTTTTTCCCAATGGTAACCCTTAAAAGCAAAAGCACTGGACATAAGTCAGCCTTCCAATACAAAAGTATATTTGAAATTGTGAAAACAGTCATGAAAACTTCTGCATTTAACGTGATTAAGTGCCCTGTTTGTAGACACACCACTCACCATTTTGTGGTGAGTTCCTGGTGTGATCATTTGACCAGCTGCAAAACCAGCTAACTCTGCTTTTTCAGGTTTAGAGGCCACATACCTGGTTCAGAAGATGTGCCCATTGATGAAGCACCTGGAGAACTTGCTCTGATGATGAATAGCAACAGCATGGGGCTAAGGTAATTTCTCTCTTCACTTCTAAGTACTTCACAGTGTCGGTACATCTTCCTGACAGTGTGCTGTTGGCTGCCAAGTATATTTGTTCATGTGTTTGTTTCATATTAAGAGCTTTTTTCCTGCAGGAAAGGTAAAATTCATTGGCTGTTATGTTTTATGAGTCAACTCGATAGTTATGCTGACCTGTTATTACTCATGGTTTAGGGTTTGACTTCCTGTAGAGGTCTCAGGTTTTGTGTGTCATCTAAGGACATTAACCTATCACAGTGCAAAATGGAGTTTTCACATAATCTTAGCTCATGTTCTTTGTTCTAGATACTAATTGTTTTTTTTTTTTTTTTTTTTCAATTAAGATCAGAACATCTCTTCAGTCTTGATTTGGACCTGATGTAAAAAATACATTATTCTTAAACTCCCAGATAGAAATGATATTTTACAATTGGTGACAGTTACATGTTTTTTAAACAGTGCTGTGTTGCACCTCTGCTTCGATGCAGTCAGAGCAAACTACAACTGAACTAATTGGAAGTAGAGTTAAGCCAATATTTAGCTATTTATCTCAATTTTGCATGCTATTTAAAACTATAATCAATACATTATTGTGTTTTCTTTCTGTCCTACACTGTCACATTTCCTGTTACCACTGGAAGAAGATTCAGGCTTATTAGGAAAGCAACAAATAAAAACTGTGGATTTTACAGGGTTTTTCTCCCTTTCTCAAGAAATAACAGCTTCTTGTTCAATGCTTCAACTATAGATGTTCCTTTGACCAAAGTATCCCCTGTTTGGTGGACAAGACGAACAGCTGTCCTTTGGATGGCCCCTTCTTTAATGACAAAACCAGACTTTAAAATAATAAGCTTTTTTTCTCCTGTATGAGAATACTGGAAGAATTGTTAATGTATTTCAAGGGTCCAATAGTTCTTTTTTTCTATTTTTTAATTCAGCATTAAGTCATACTGATTTTATTTTATTTTTTTTAATCTTCACTGAAAAGGGATAAGACTTCTTTCTCCAGAACAACAGGAGTTGTTAGTTTCCTTGAAATACTTCACTGCTTAACCAGATGTTTGGCTGCTGTGGATTACTGTCATATCCTTATTGTATTCTGATACTTTTTTTATTTAATTTTCACACAGACTGAAGTGATCAAACTATGATCACTGTAACAAAAGTGATGGAGAGTTGTGGTGTGTTTAAGATACAGGAGCATTAAGCCCCTTGGAGGAAAAATGTAACCTAGAACATCTGTAGGGCTTCTTGGCAACAGTTTACCAAAAACCTGCAAAAATGTACATAGTCTAGCAGGGAAAATGAGGAAAACTTATGCCATTAGCAAAATGAGAGTTCCAGATTTCAGAAGGTTTCCCACCCTCTCTTCATTCCTCTGGTTTAATTTAGTGTAATTTTTCAAAGTTAATATGTGTTCACGCAGTCTCAAGTTGCCATGCCAGCTGGTTCCAAAATTTGGCAGCAAAACACTTGGAAGTTTTCTTCCTGTATGCCATCTTCAGTTTTGCAAAGGTTACCAGATGAACGGTCCCTAAATAATTTACTCTAATGTAAGGCTGGAAGAGGCTACGGAAGACAAGTCCATTTGTCTCTTTTATGCATTTGAATATGTAAGTGATGCCTGCTTCAGTATCAAGAGAGTGTGGAAATGTGTGGCTAGAACTTAGAAAGGAGGAATTGCTGGTGGGAATGCATCCTTTTTTTTAACAGACTCTTTTCTGTTTTTTGTTTGTCTTTGGGTTTATTTTTGTTGTTATTTGTTTTTTAATTGACCTGCCAAATGGTTCTTGTTACAGCAAATGCTATCAGAACCAAAACAGAAAACCAGCCCTCCCTGACTTCCAGTTCATACATGAAAGCTCTCCTAACAAACCTCACAGCATGAAACTTGATTTCAGTCTTCAAATAAGGAAAACTTAGCTTAAAAATATCCTGGTATTTGAAAGGAAATGGTGAAAGTCCTTTAAAATACTAAACTTGCTGAAGTGATGTATTTGAGTTCAGAAGTAAAATAAATAATATAATCAAGAACTGAAAAACATAGTTTTTTTTATAATTAACAGCTCATTTTGAGTTAATTATCTACAATTACGAAAATCTAATTGCAATTTATTCTCTACTATCTGTGGGAAGAATCGTAGGCAAGGGAATGTGCATCACTGCCAGGCATAAATACTATAGGATGGGTACAAATAATAGAGGAGCCTTTAATGAAAAACAAAAAGCAAATAGGAGCATGCAGCTGTGCCAGGCTATTGAAAGGTAATTGTAGTCAGAAATGAGATATGTACTTTAAAAGGCATCTTGTCATCTCCTGTAGGGATTAATTTTTTCCCTCCTTGAAAAAGGAAAAAAAGATTCCATGAGCAAATGCAGTACAGAGTTTCATTTCTGATAGAGATTTTGGTCAGTCTGTCTGTGAAAAGAAAAACTTTTATCTTGGGGACTACGACAAACTATAAGACATTTTTTTTTAATGGAGGCCTGTTTCTTTTTCTCTTCTAAATGTGCCATTATGTTTTTTTCATTATCAAAGTCCTCAAGCGTTGTTCCTCTCAGCCTCTTTGGAGGGTCCCTGTATGAATTTGCAGTGTTGAATCTGTCACTTCCCTGCTGGGTATGTTGAGGTGCCATTGGGCAGAAATGTGTCTGTCCCTTTGCCTGCATGTAGTTGGGCCAGTGTGTGGAACCTGAGGAGTCTTCAAATGCAGGATCTCCAGTTCTCTAAGGTGCATCAGTCAGAGCAGGTTTTACTGAGGATGGTTTTCAGTAACTTGGAGTGCTCACAGGTGAGCCCACAGCCAACTTTCAGCTGTGGGGATAGTAACTTGCACAATTAATGGCAAGTTGTCTGTGTAATTTCTTTCCAAGTCTGCCTCAGTGTGCAAGCTGATTTAAATTACTCAAAATAAAAACATAACCTGATGCATTTGTTTAGCATAAAACAGCCTTTTACAAAGCTCTTTCCATCTCCCAGACACAGATGCCTGGTACATGCTCAAGTACCCACTCCATGCCTATTCAGTAGGATCAATACACCCGGCACCTGCTTTTGTGTGTGCTCCTGATGTCTGCATCTGGGAGAGGAATTTTAAAACAATCCACTCTTCTCTCCTTTATTTAATCTTAACTTTGGATCTGAATGTCATGGAAATAAGACTTATTTAACAGCACCAACTAGAGAAACAGTTTGCTAATTTGCAAGCACCCCTCTCCAGAGTTGTGCTTTATGCCTAAATCTTAACATAGAAGGTACCCTGCTTTTCTGATTCTTAGGTTTCCCATATGGCTCTGCCAGTACAGCTTTCTACTGCCTTCTCTCTAACATACATCTTTTCCTTAGATTTCCCACAACACTGCCACTGTACTTCTACACAGACCTGTTCAAAACGTTATAAATAGGAATTTTTGGATACAGCAGCTATCAGAAGGGTTTACCGTTATCCGTAGGCACTCTTTCAGTGTACGCTACCTGGTTAAATGATTTCTTTCCTGGAGTATTAAAGATTTGCAGGTGGAATTTGCCACCTTTAATTTCTTTGAAGGCTTTTTATGTTTGTGTTCTTCATTCTATATCACCCATGTGTATTTTTTCCAGTTTGTGTTTTTAGTTAGTTGAAAATATCAAACACAGAATTCAGCAGTACTTTCCCCCTATTTGAATGCTCATTGCTATGGTGATAGTTCCAGGAGGGAATGTTGTCAGGGGTCTTTTAAAAGATTTTTATGTTTATGGTGTAACTATTTTTATTATCTTGTGAGAGAAGGTGACAATTATCTCTTGCTCCTTGTTTAATGCTTTGTTATGAACTGGATTGTTTTTTTGCAGCTTGTTAGACTTGCAGGCATCTTTCTATAGTGATGTGCAAGCATACTTCTGTTTTTTTTTGTCCAAATATTCAACGAAATTAAATAGATGTGCAGAGGAACGCAGACTCGCAGCTCCCCCTGCTGTCCAAGGCATATCCAGATTTGTTCACACAATCCCCTCCTCCAATTCTAAAACAAAAATCACAAGCAATCACATGGCTCTGCCACCTCTGACCTGACTTTTCCCTGCCCCATTACTCCTGTTTTTGAAGGGAACTGATCTTTAAAAACCGGTGGCAATAGTAGCACCCATTTTGTTTCCTGTTTGGAGTTGGTCAGTTCTTCATGCCAGTGTGCATCACCTCCTGTTACTCTTGTCATTAGCCTCTGGAGGAGAAACCATCACCAGTGGTACAACTAGCTCATTGTCCAAGACCTCCCAGGCTTCATTCAGTTCAACTGTAAGTTGTCTTTGGGCTCTTGAGGTGCATCTATAGAGTATTTGACCAACTTTTAGGAATGAATTGAATATGGTTTGGGATTTTTTTTTTTCATCTCTTTGCTGTTTGGCAGACTGGCACATTAAACCAGGCTGAAATCAACTGTGGTTGTAAATGGTCCATAAAATATGTGTATCTGGAAGATGCTTACCCACTTGTTAGTGCTCCTTTTAACACTCAAGTTACTTTCTTGTTCCAGATAATTTTACACTGAAGTTCGTATCATTTTTAGATAGGATATTTGTGGAGCGAACACTTGTTTGGCCAGTAAAAAAAGTGCTTGCAGATCTGCCAGTAATGCAAATGTTGAATTAGGTGCAGATATGAGTTTTTCTTTCTCTTATGGTGTTGTCTGGCTATATATAGGCACAACATCCCTTCAACAGATGGCTGCCAGAGTCTGTTGTGACGTAATGGGAGAGTATAGTTGGAGTTAGATACACATTTTTGCTTCATTAGGGCCATGTGCAGACTCTGAAGGTAATAGGTTTTCTTGTGCAGGGTGAAAGCTTTTGTTCTGATGCGGTTACTTAAAGCTTATTACTGAATGGGGGGTGTGTGGCAATTTTTTACATATATCTATGCATGTGTGTTGTGTTGTTGTTTTTTTTTAAGGTAGTCAGCAATTCTTACCAGACTGGAGTGAGAAGTTCATTTCCACTGACCTGGTCGCTTCACTA